CATCCCCCGCACCCTCCCTGCCTCCTCGAGTTATTTAAGGCTTCTTTATTTCTTTTCATATTGGGAAACGTCAGACGATCTCGAAGATTTACAGAGCGGGTTCCGCAATGTTATTTCTTTGTGGCCGTTGGCCGCACCATTCCTTGCATTTTTGCACGGGGGAGAAACTCTTCTCGTCGGTGTCAACAAGGGGTGCTGGAACAGGCTGCTGGGGCTGCCGGGATGCCCCTCGGAGGGGCTGCTTCGTAGGCGTCGAACAACAACAAAATCCCACCGCTACTGAGAACAAAATGGGCTTCCTATTGACTTTGGACAGCGCTGATCTGAACCTTAGAGGCCTGGCTAACGTTCAGCTTTTATCTTTCTGGCAGCAGGTTAAAATAACGCAAACAGAAGTTGAATATCTACTGGACCGGCCAGCTGGCCCTCACCCAGCCCCCTCGGCCTCACGTGTTGCCCTTCTCAGGCTTCTATACCAAAGGATTTGCAGTAAGGGCTGGTCATGCCTTGTCTTTTGTCCTTCCGGCCATTCTTTGCCGAAGTATTTGACCGTGATGAGAAATTCTTATTCAGGCTGATCTTTTAAGGTGAAAAAGCACAATGGGCTCATGACCTTAATATGAAATAAGTACTCTGTTCACCTCTGCCAGCCCAGGTTCCTTCTTTGCATGGGAAACAAGAACCTCCCAGAGCCAGACCGGCAGCCGTCAGAACTGGCCCAACTGCCTTTACACCCACAGGGCTTTCCTGCTTTGCACCAACTGAAACTCTGTCTGGGGCTCTTTCAGACTTCAGCTGCTTGGGAAGCATTGGAGAGATCCTGCTCTCAGTCACAGTCCTGAAAATCTGAAATAATTTCTTTAAACACTGACTTTTACTTGAAGAAATGGGAGAAGGTGGGACTACAGGACAGAGCATCCTGAGCTATGGTTGGTTTTGCTTTGGTCCTGGTCTTTGTTACCAACATGCTGGGTGATTTTAAGCGTTTAACATTGTTTGCTTGATCCCTCTTCCCCCTGCTCCACTATTCCACTGTTTCCATATCCATAAAAGCTAAATATAATGAAATTAATCTCCTTTATGAAACATTCCTTATATGGCAGCTAGATATTAATAGTGAGATCAAAATTGGCTATATGAGTATGCCAACAGTGGATTAGTAAAATCCTTAGTATTTGGTGACCTAATCTCAGAAAATATTTCAGAAATTTTAGAGAAAATAATCTCAGAAAATAATCTCAGGAAGTATAATATATCAGATCTCTAACGAAATATTTTTCCTATACATCATCTTACTCTTGCAGGTACTTATAAAAGAAACTAAAGAAAAAACCCCACTTTTCATATGCAGGTCAAAACCAGCCCTGCTGTAACACCACCAACGCTGTTCCCATAGCACACAGTTACATTGTGGTTGGTATCGGGCTCTATAGATTTGCAACATGCTGACTTTTCCACATATATAGCTGAAAAGATGTTAAAAAATAGCATAAAATAGCGTATCTATTCCACACTAAAATTTCTGAGGCAATCTCACCCCACTGTCATCAATATGCATGCTTCTGCTACCGTGCCTCCAAAGTGAATGCTGTTTTGGTGCCACAGGGAGACACTTCGGATATTGAAACATCTGTTTGCATCTGCAGTGCAGGCATGATTTTGATTTTCTCTTAGTTGAAAGCAAGTCTGAAGTACCTTACTCCATTTAAACTCATTCCCATGGGCCTGATCCAAAGACTTATTAAGAAACCCTACTAAAGGGGTAGCTCAAAACCCACTGAAGAGAGTCCTCTTCCCCTGTTGTCAGTGGGCTTTGGATCAGGTCCTTCCACCCCAAGACTGAAGTTACACGGAAACCAGCTCAGGGGTTTCTGCGGTTGCATCTTTCTGAGTCCAGACAGAGCCACCTCTGATTTCTGCACTTTGCTGCCACACAGCACCAGAGTGCTACAAAAGGCACAGTCTCAAGAAGCAAGCTGAAGTTTCAGGAGTCACTGTGTGCTTCTCAGTGATTACAGTTACCTCAATAAACAACAGAATTGTATTCAAAATACCTCATCTCTGTACCTATTATTCTCCACATTCTCACAGGACACACACACACACACAGATGGAAAAACATCCTCTCCTTCAATATCAACAGGTTAACTGAGTTTGTTACTTACATTTAATATCCTTTTTAAAAACTGCAGCTGAAAGGCAGGCTGCTGGATGTTAGTCTGACAACCCATCATTTAAACAAAAAATAAAGTGATGAAAAACTCACCTTTGCTGTCAGAAATCAGATGAATGGAGAACATTTCTCTTGCCCCCACCGGCTCCCTCGGCTCATGCCATGTCAGTTACACGCGCTGAGCTCAGAGCGAGTCTCCCCTTTCCAAGCCAGATCCTTTCCAGATGTGAGCAGCAGAATTAGTGAGAGTAATAGGCAAACCTCTACCACCGAGAGTTTCCTGCACTTCCCAGTGAAAGCCGAGAGGAATTTTCCAGTCACCATATGCGAAAATGTGAGTAGGAAAGAGGAAGCAGCTATACTCTGAATATAAAGACTTGGGGAAGGAACACTCTCCCGTTGCTTTTTGTCAACACAGTTTGCAAGATCCGTGAGAGATGCCAAAAGAAAGCATGCTGGAATTGACAGGAGAGAGGCAGAGACGGTGTGTGCTTTACCATTGCATTGCAGGATACCGGAGCGCCGCTAGCTGTTACTAGATCTTTAATTTCAGCCACATTCAACACAGAATCTGAATTCCAGGTGGGAATGTGCTCCCATTCCCTGGGGGTCTGGTTCAAATTAGTCAGGAACAGACAGATCAGCAGTTTTTCCTGCATTTCGTCTCCCTCCCCTGTAACTCCCCCTGGTTTTCAACCCATCAACTGATCTTCAGGGACCAGGGACAGACAGGCTGAAACTACAAATGTCTTAAAGGCAAAGTCCCCAAATCCGATATAACACCCCAACTACCCAATCTCGTTTTTATCTTCTGAGCCCCGTATTACAGCACTAAGCATCAAACCAACCTCCACCACACACACACACACACACTCTACAGCCTGGTCATGTTTAGCCCAGAAGCCTCACATTTCCAACTTGCCCCTCTTGGTAAGAAAAACAGAGGAACATGCCTTTTATGACACAGAATACTCTAAGTGCAGCAATACTTCCAAGCAAGCAACACAGCTTTTTGTCACTGACAGCACAGTTGCTATTTTAAATATAAAGCCACCTGTTTGTGACTGCCCCGGAGCGCTCTGTACCTCCACAAAATCTGCAGAGGATCGGTCCTCACCAAGAACACAGCCTTCTTGCTGAACTCCAGCAAAGGGACACTGATTCTTTCCTCTCGGCTCCAGATGAACTAACGTCTAAAGCAATCAAGTTATTTCCTCCCTCTCTTCTTCCAGGCTCGTATCAACTGGAGCTGATCCCCCTCTGTGCCACGTGTAAGTTTCTAAAGTTAGTGTGGGAAGTGTGTTTTTACTAGAACAAAAATAAAAACAAAACAAAGCTGGCTGCCTTTTCTTAGTGATTCAGACATCCAGGATGCATTTGCCTGCTACCCGTTCTGTATTACAGTACCCTGAGTCTATACAACAAAATTTACACAAGTGTTTCCAGGGAGGAGAAAAAAAATGTGCTTATGTTGGGGGGACCACCCATCATAGCCCAGTCTGCAGACAGAGAGGAGGAGGAGGAGGAGGAGGAGGAGGGTGATCACCTGGCTTCCTGTTGATGCCAGAGCAGCCCACAAGGGAGAAGAAGAGAGCAGGATTCCCCCTTCCCCAAAAGTGCATTTTCAGTTGTGTTTTTGTTGTGTAAGTCTAGTACTTAGCTGTCACATAGCATCTAGAGGTACTACTTCATAAAAAGAGGGGCATTATGCCTTCTTTAGTGGGGAAACAGAGGCACACAAGTGTCATAACCAACCCAGGGTTATCCAGCAGGACAGAGCCAGTACTAGAAACCAGATATCCCATGTGCAAAGGTAACACTTACACCCTTACACTATGCTACAAATTACCTATATAGGCTGTTTTTTACCCAGCTTCCGCTTCCTCCACGCCTTACCCTCTTACATCAACACATCCCAAACTTGCCACCTCCGACCTCCAGACCCAGTGCTGCGTTTCCATCTCCAGAACCCACACAAGCCCCCAAGAAAACCAGAGCTGGAGTCAAACCTATCTAAAGGCGTTCTGAACCACCACTAAGCCAAAGGCTATGTCCTAGTACGGTATATGGACTCGGGTAAGCACTGTTTCCATCACTACAGCTTCCTGGTGCTTTCAGAGGAAAGAGGTTCCACTGCAAGACTGCACAGCCCAGAATTACTTGCAGGAAACATTTCCAGTCAAACTCGAGTGTTTGTACTCTTGTGTGTTCCCTGCTGATGGGTGACAGTGGTGGCTGCAGCCTCAACGGAGAAACATTTTCAGGTTTAAAAACCAAAGCTGAAGACTCATTTTAAACTTTGATATAATCACTACTTCAGATCACATAGATGGCAGATCCTTGGGCAAACAACTGCTAGGGTACTTCACTGAACAAGAAGCAGCTATGACAGACAGCATGTGCCACGGAGCGCCGTACTGTTTTGCAATGGGCCCAGCACACAGTGCGCTGTACAAGACCCAATCTCCTCCACTGCCTCCAGCAGAAAAAAGCCCCAGTGGTGGTCAAGGACAGACTTTGCTAACTTGAGATTTTTCATAGATACTCTTGCAGACCTCAGCATAAGGACATGTCCAGGGCCAAGCTACAGTCTGCAGTACACTTTATTCTACTACTATAATGGAGAAAGCCAGACAACTTACCCAAGTTACACCAAGGCTGCACTTGTCTCATGGAACCATGGAGGATGAGAACAGCACAGAGGTAGCTCAAACCCATGAGGCCTGCTCAGCTCTGACTTTGCATCTGTTGTCACTGTCCTAAAGAGATTATAGGCTAAATTTATACATGATATGATAAACTCAAATAACAGATACCCCAGTCAAGCAACAACATGGCAGAGAACAAAAGGTATAAGCAGATCTATTGAAGCATGAGCCCCAAGAACAGGGGTTCTTCAGGCATCAGCTCACTTGCAATCAGCATGGAGTGAGGCATGAGGAATTCAGGTCATCAGCATGGAGTGAGGCATGAGGCATTCAGGTTTTAGTTGTGTCTTAAAAGGTAATAAAATATTCTTTACTCTCACCTTTTATTTAGATGATTTAAATAAGACTCTACAGATATACTGGTGTTCCTGAAGCATTCACTGCTGTATGCTGATACTGTGGCTTTATTTGAAGGGAGAGAGAAAAGCCCATTAAAATTCTTTTAAGTAACTTGCCGTCATTTGCTTCAAAAAACGAATCATCAAAACACAAAGACTAAAAGGCTTTTTTGTCTCCAAAGCAGGAAAGGAAGTATTTTTCAAACCTAAGTATGCACAACAGAGCCTGGCCATGAGCCTATTGGCAGCTGTGTGTTGATCCGAATGAACTTTAAGCTATCTGTTCTCCCACAGGACACGTAATGTTTAAAAAAAAAAAAATAAATCCATGACTGCTTTTAATCTACCTGAAATATGGGATACAGACACAGCATATTTTGTACTTGTTTTATACTATCCATGTTCCTTTTAGCCTGCTGCAGCATTATTAGGATATATCGGTTCCTGTATCGCAGTATACAGAATCATAGAATCAGAATTGTAAAGGTTGGAAGTGACCTTAAAGTCCATCTGGTTCCAACCCCCCTGTCATGAGCACCTTCCACTAGACCAGGTTGCTCAGAGCTCCATCCAACCTGGCCTTGAACACGTAACATTAAACACTTAACATATAACTAACATTTCCCGGATAACCCACCCATGGCCATATAAAGCCATCTGCTTTTACGTTAGCAATGAATTCTTCTTATAGATACAGAGTACATAACAGCTCACACTGTCACTCCAACAAATTACGCTGCTGTTTATTTAAGTAATAAAGGAATTTGTTCCAAACAGCTGGCTTTTTTTCCAGCATTTGTTCTCCATATGTGGTTTGCTTCCGCAAGTGTTGATTTTTCATAGTTGAGAGACTTTTTCCTGCCTTTTATCCACCAGGCTAATTGCATTCTTACTCTTTTCTGTTTAATGAGAGCTGACATCCAGCTCAGCGCTCGGTAGAACAGGAAGTGATGTAGTTCCTGTTCCAAGGAGGTAACAGTTTAAACTGACCTCGGATACATTGCACATATGGGAAATAGACAAATCCAGCCTTGTGATTACTTGACTTTTTTTCTGTTGTGAGAGGGAAGATGTAGTTAAGTCCCTTTGTCCCACCCTCCTGCAGCCTGAAATGATCTGTCACCCAAAAGAATAGCTCCTTAACCCAACTGCCACAAACCGTGCTCAGCTGGTCACAGCCTCCTCACCTGAGCAAACTGATCTCTCTCCACGGCTTACCAAAAGGATCCCAGATCACCTCGTAACAGGAGGACTTGCTTTACAAAAATAAAGCCATGGTGAGCCACCTGCCAGACTCTCCATTCCCTTTCTAACACCTGCAGTTACAAAAGCCTGTAGTAGTTACTCGTGTCCTGCACCCCCATGCAGTTACTCAATACGTAAGGCCAGCCACATACAACAGCGTACAGCTGCAGTAACTGCCTTCCCCCTAGACTGCCGCTTCTGCCCATGGATAGGCCCCCATTCACCCAAAGAGCTCTCTTGCAAATATCCCAAATTCAGAGTTTTGTCCCAGATTCCTATTTGTTACCCTGATCAACACAGGAACGTAGACTTCTTGAAGTAGCATAGCTCTTTTCTTAAGGGAAGGAGCCAGGTTCTGATCCTCAGCTTTTCTTCTAATGACTCTAATTAATTATTTTTCAAAATACATGTGGTATAAAGTGTGTAAGTGTAATGTACTGCATTGTACCTATTTCTGACTAGGCAAAGCAGCCAGACTGAAACACAAGTTTAAAAAGCAAATCTGCGCTCCAAAACCAAAGCACTCAAATTCCTGCAAGCCAGACCTGCTGAGTCAGGCACTGCTCTGCTCACTGGCTCCAACTCTGACAAATCTATTTGCTTCTGTTATAGCAATGAAACAGGTTTTACTTTTTTTCATTGTTATGAGAATTGATATCAGAAAGAATTATATTAATTTTACAAAAGAAAGTAAAAATAAGATATACCTGCCAACCTGACAGCATCTCTGGCTGTCAAATGATTGACACTTCTCACAGCTGGTAAAAAAAAACCCAACAAACCAATAGCTACAAAGGGTATTCAGCAGAGTCCATGAAGGAAGAACAACTCTCTCAAGCATTTTAATGTCTAAAGCTGAAATTTCCTCTCATGTGATCTGGGAGTCTGAGAACACTAAATCCTCTGCCTAGAGGATTAGGATTTTTTTTTTCTTACACAAGGCCTTTGAAACAAAAAATTCACACTTTGCTATGTTCAGTGACTAGCCCCCCGCCTCTTGGTATCTCTAGCCACCTTTCTAACTCTGCCCTCAAGGAATCAACATAACAGAAGTAACACATAAACTTCACAAGTAAGGCTGATCTAAAGTTGCAGAGGATTCTGTCTGGAGAAGAGGTGCTTAATACTGCTTGGTCAAGACCAAGTGGAGTGAGAAAAAAACTTTTGTAAAGAGATTTCTAAAATGGTACAAACTTGGTAACGTTTTATTCGAGTTATGCAAAAAACGAGTAATAGAAATTAAACATAATGTCAAAATCTGCTCTGTATCATAGAACTTTGCCTACTTTCTCATCATGTTGAACAGGGCCAGTTACTTCTGTCTACTGTGGAATTTATTTATTCAAAGTTATCACATCCTAAGACTGACGAATGTAAATGGGGGATCTGGAATTTTTAGAACAGACATCACACACACTCCTCACTCCCAGAAAAAGGAAAATTAGAAATAGTACTATATCATATTTAAAAAATTATTGGGAAGTTATGACACAAAGAAGGTGATGGAAGTGGAGGAGTAATACAAGACAGATGTCTCAATCAGATATTAACTGGTACATGGGGTAAATATATGACTTGCTTTGTCATTTACTTCATCTTCTTAAATACTGCAGAAGGAGAAATACAAAATGGTCTAGTTCTCCCACTTCCAAGCAGAGAAGGTAGGCTGTGCTAACCTCTGCTTTGCTCGCTCTACCTACAATCGGTAAGTCAACTAAACATCCACATTTAGTCTGGGATTTTTCTGTTGTAACGACATCGTATCTGCAAGTGCCCAAACCTGAAAGTCCTAGGCCTGCACAAACCTAGAGAGTCTGACGCCAGGGTCTCAGACTTGGATAGTCTTTCTCTTGATACCAAACAGACTCCTAAGTTGTATTTGCACTAGTTTGGTTTTCTTACTTTTTTTAATATTCCTGTGCAGCTTTCCCCCCCGCCCTTAAAAAATTATCTCAATCTGCAGCTAAGCACATCTTATTGGTAAGGACTACTTTGATCCATTTTCGCTTCTTTACAGTTAAAAATTAATATGCTTCTTTAATTAAACAGTGGCCAAAAATATGCTGAGTCTCTGCTCAAAGTTGTCTGAAAAGTCAGGTTCTTAGCGTGCATACCAGACACCTACCCAAAGCTCTTCTGGTGGTATCGGTGATTCAAAAGGAAGAAAAAGCTTGCTAATGAAAGGGTGTACACGCAGCTCTGTGTAGAGGAACAAATTGTTTTCAGTACAGAGCTACTGCTGCAATCCTGTAATTCCCCTTTATTTTAACCCCTAACCCAAGTGGCAAGAATTTAGCAAAAAGCAGCGGTACATCCATTAGGAAACGTTATTTTGCAGAGAGCTAACACTGCTTTCGTTTCAGAGACATGACTCCTATCTACTACAATCCTTTGGGTAAGCCAATAAACAAGTACACAAGAGGAAACCTCATTCATATATAGTAGATTGTTTTTTAAGAAGTTTTCAGTGGGGCAAGGCAGTATCTGTCTTATTCAGCACCAAACTAATGCCTTGGAAAAGAAGATGAGCAGTGGGGTGATAAAAGTTGATTCATCCAGATATTAAAGATGAGGGCTGAGTACAAAAGTTGCAGGCAGCTCTGAACACCGAGTGCCTGGACAGTAAAATAGACAGTTGAAGTTCAATACAACCAAAGCAATGCATATGGAATAATTAAAAAAAAGTTTCAGCTTCACAGTGCAGAAATAAGCACCAAGTTAATACGCAAGAAATGAGGCCCCAGTTTTAACTAGGAAAACATCAACTGAACACTAGTAATGGTCAGAAAAGCAACTGGGGAAAGACAAACAAAAGCAGAAAATGCTCTTGCATCTTGAAAGCTTTGTAACATCGGACAATCAGAATACAGCATACAGGAAGGACACATGGACAGCCAAAAGGTGACAAGGGCCCCTCCATGGGACACAGTTAAATAGAATGTCCTCTTCTTTAAGTTGTGATGCCTGAGGGTGACTATATAAATACCAGGAGTGCTTCAAAGCTGTTGACTGTTTCTTCCAGTTAAAAAAAAAATTAAAAAATCTCAAACAACAACAAAAAGCAAGTAAGAGGTATAAAATAAAACTGCAATGCATAAGATAAAAAGGAATAAATTTAATTCCACATGACATGTAGGTAAGCTACAGAAATTCTTGACCCATGCTAAAAAGCTGTCAAGGATTCAAAAAGGGACAGGGCAAACTCATGAAAGACTATCCACCAAGAACTTCAGATACAAACATACTGCTTCTGGCTCACACCTGTGAGCTGGAAAAATTTAAAAAAAATTATCACTGGCAGTTAGGAAAGTATTCTGGGTAAACAGATGTTTGGGCCATCTTAATATTCCTCCGAAGGTATCAATGGTCAGAAAATACAGGGGGCTAGATCAATTTTTGGTCGTATTCAGTACAGCTATTGTTACTGCTCAGCAATCTGATTGCCTTGAATTAGTTAATCTTTTATTATGATTTTACTGAAACCAGGGAAGTGAAGTTTGTGTGCAAGTTCCTCAGCATGACCTCCAGATATGTGAAGATGCGAGGTGTATATACTGGACAGAGGTGTAGTTTATGGAGTATTTACTGACACAACGCCTGAGGAGGAAAAAGTGAAGGACTGCAGGAATTCTTCACAACAATCTATATAAAATAGCCAATTCAGTGCATTAACATGAAATCCATGTTTACAAATCCAAGGAAGCAACACACAGAAGAACAGGAAAAGTATATTTAATTTTCTATTAAACTTCCAACAAGAATACATTTTCCCAAAACAGAAGTTAAGGCTTTTACATTACTTATAAAGGATTTCATAATGATCAACAACTGATTTGCTCAGGAGAAACATAAAATGTTTGTTATACTTCCTCTCTGCTCTCCTGGCAAGCCTAATCTTTTCTTCAAGGTGAAGCATTATCAAATCCTGTGAATCTCAAAGCAACATTCCAGCTTCTACTTATTTCTGGATATTCTGTTTATTTTTTTTTAATTCCAAAGTAGTAATAAAAGTATTTTGTAGCAAATTCTTAAAGCCTATTCTAAAAAAATGTTGTTAGAGATCCCCTTTATAAGACCATTTTAATTTAAGCAGCAACAAATTTGTTAGACTGGAAGTCTGAAAGCATTTGTATGACATGATACTACAGCTTTTAAAAAATGCACTACATTTAATTGATATGTCAAATTACTTATAACCTTCCTCACTCTCTTCCAGCTAACCCGAACAACAGTAAGCAGCCTCTTTCAACTCTTACCTTTTATAAAATTTTTCATATTGATTAAAACAAAAATTGACACAAATGTCCATCATACACCATTTGCAAGAGTTAGTGTCTCAAACTTCGCCTAAAAATCTTTGCCATAGATAAACTGATGGAATTTATTAAGAGAATAAAGGTCTCTAACCACAGAACTTAGGTGAGAGAGGTCCAATCAAACCTGGCCTGTGCCACATTATTGATAATGTCTAGTTTCATTCTACTTTTTTTGTCAAGAATATCAAGTACTGACTGTTTACTCTAATGAGCTCAAAGTTTTGCTTTGCCTGGCTGAAGTTGTAGATTTTGAAGTTTCATTGCCATGCCCATGTTCCCAGCAACCTTCAATTTGCCTTGAAAGAATGCCTAAAAAGAAAGGAAGATTTTATGAAATGCAATACAACATACTACCCCAAATGCACCCCCCCTCAACAGTTATGGGCTATTATCCGTGTGCAGGTCCTGGTCTGCAGTTTTGTAATTCCAGCAGCTCTAGCAGACATCCCACATTCACCAACAAAGTTTACTGAGGAAGTTATATGCTTATTTTATTTGTTATACCTGAAGAGAATAAAGTTGGTATTGCATGTTTCTTGCATTATCATAACGATGGATCTGTATACAAAGCAGGGCAGAATACCCAATGTTTTGGTGATGACAGTTCGTAGAATAGATGTTCACTAATTCAACTGAAGATGATAAATCAGTGTACAGTACATGCCACAACTGATTTCTCACTCAAATCCCCCCAGCCATTGCTGGTTTTGTTACTGATGAATTCAATTCTACAGATCTAGTTTGTGGAGCAGACACACTGAAGATTTGGGTTTTTTTCCTCCGGACCTTGCAAAAAGATGAACTGTGTGCACTAAAATACCGAAATTGTAGGTGTAAAATTGTAATGGATTCTGAACTTCCTACATGACAACATTTCTATATATAACAACACATTATTATATATATTATATATAATATATATTATTATTATCTATAACAACACATTAACAAACACATTATAACATTTCTATAATGTGGTTTACCTTCAAACTTCTCCTAGACACACTTTAGTTTTTGAAAATTCTTACTTAGCCTGTGATTACCAGACCAAAAACTTAAAATGAATGTTACCCAGAGCATTTCAAATTTAGAAGTACGGAACAGCAACTTAACCTTAACGTCCAGTTTACTTGTACACCATGGCTGCGTTTGACACGCTAAGGAATAAAAAACCCAAATAATCGCAGGCATTTGGTGGATGCTCACATCAATTTCCATTTTTCAGCATCAGGGTTACTCCTTACGCTAATGCCAGCTACGAGTGTAAAGCCCTCTAAACGGAGGGCAAACATTCCTCCTTTCTTAAGGCACACTGCAAACACTAGCTGTCCCCGCTCCTCTGAAAACTAAGCACTATGTATCACCTTCTAGATTTCCTACAGTACGTCTGAGGTAATATGTACCTGGTCAGAAGGACAGATACTTGTCTTTCTCGATTAATCTTACTTTGGCCATTTTGCTCAGAGAAAGTCAAGAACTGTAATTTTTCAGATCAGCCATGGCAGTTCTGGAGGAGGGGACTTATTTAAATGATTTCAACTTAAACATACTCAAAACAAAACAAATGAGTCCGTCCTCTTACTAGCTCATCATTGCTATACTTACTGTCTGAGGATTCATTTTCCCAGTCATGAGAGCTAACAGATCAGCGTCAGCCATTGTAATTGTACAATCCGCCTTCTTATCTGCAAGATAAAAGAGTTGACTGTGAAGATTCAAACTGACAGATGAAACAGTAATAGAAGCTACAACTCTATGAAGAATCTGTTGATACTGTGGGTTAAAAAATGGTACCTGAAGTCATACAAATAAGGGCCATCACAACAATATTAGCAAGAGATCATCCAACAGCCATCTGGCTATCTGTGCCACCTCGTAGCACAGACCAGCCCAAGACTGAAGAGGACTTTTCTGAAAGGTGCTAAGCAAACTCATTCCTTGAAAAGAAACAATAACGTTCTGTCTGACTACAGGTTGATTAATTGCAAGCATTGATAATCATCTTAAGTTTTATCAGGCTTAGATTTGCTAGTATTAAGATCAACTCAGAATAAATGTGTTTTCCCCTGCGACAGTCTGAAGATATTCATCACTGAAATTTCAGGCATTTCCTGCCCTCTCCTTCAATGCGAACAACGTGTGCATTCCAAAAGCACTCATTTGAATTAACTCAAATCCAAAAGTTTTTAGGGTCTTCTTACCAGAAATAAGCTGAAAAAGTTATTTTAATAAGCTCTGAAAGAAATATTAATGTACATACCAGAGGGCCAAAAACTGCACACATCTTTTCCAACACTCATCTTGTTACTAAACTCTCTGATAAAGTGTTGTCCATACAACAGCAAACAGCGCCTTTCTTTTTCTGATAACTTAGATCAATGAATTCCAAATCAAGCCCCCTATCATGTTTTTAATTAAAAGCTTTATGATGCAGGTTCACAGATATATATAAGATTCTGAGGACAGATTGTTGTCTTTGGCTTTTTATTTATATTATGAGGATGCATGACTTCAGATACGAGACAAGACATTTTCATGGCAAGGGTACAAATCCTTTGTTTCCACTGCTTTTATGGGATTCCCCACCACTACCCAGTCTGTGTCTTATTTATGTCTGCCTTTTTTAAAATGGAACTTGAAGTTTATGTCAGCTAGTCCAGTATTGAAATCACTCAACTTTTATTGCTTAACTAGCTGCAAAGAAGTAACTTCATGACATAGACCAATTTACCGCCTACCAGTGTCTCCGATAAAGCAACTGAAGAAACAGCTAGAAATCACATTTCTAGATCAAATTTTAAGAAGAATAACAAAACCCCTGAGGTTTGATTTATTTATTTACTTTAAACTCTGATTCCTGTAAAGTCATATGACAGATCTGTCTGGAGCCTCTAAAAAAACATGCAATTACCTAGACAGAATTCAGAGTAGATGATGTTCAATTCTTGGTCCGAAACGTCATGGATTAAAAGCATCAGTAACAAGAAAAGTTTAAAATTAAGCTAGCTCTACACCATTTTTATTCAAGGTCACTACAGCTTAAACAGAATATGAATATATATTCTTTTTGTTAGTTTTATGTGTTTTCTGCAATGATGTAATAAAACAGCACTGACCTGAATTAACTGCCACAGAGCCTTTACCGTTTTTCACATCTACTACCCAAGTTGCTTCTTTCCCATCAGGACCATCTTTTATTTTGAAGGCAAAGACTCCACCAATTTTCTTGACAAATTGCTCTCCTTCCTGTAATGACCATGTAACATGCAAATTGTTCATTTACTTCAAAATAATTTTAAAATAGTTTAAATTAAACGGAAAGTAATTTAAAAACCTTTACCCTTTCTACTAACATAGAAATACCTATTTCCCTCTATTAGGGTTCATTTAAACAACCATTTAAAAAAAAACCACACCAAACCAAAAAACCACAAACACAAACTACGACCATCTGTACTAAAATCTATCAACTAAAAAAAAATTACCATCCTAACAGTCTAGTCTTGATGCAAGTCTGACAACATGTGATTTCTTCTAACCATATGTACAAAGCAAGCAACAAACACCAAACACAAACCTAAAGTTTCTTGTGTTAGTTAGCAAGTTCCTCATATACAATCTAAACTTGCCTTTACTGAAATACCCTTATACAGGTAGGTTACTGTCTGAAAAAAAATAATTTAAAATCACCGCACAGCATCTGACACAGCGAAATTCACAGCTGTAACGTGTTTCAATGAGCAGTACTGAGGAAGTGACTGACGCTGCTACATTCCCATCAGGTTTCACCCATGTTCTGTCGTAAATTAAAATCCTGTTGTAGGTAAAAGAAGTAGTCAAATACCTCTTGGAGCTTCTTTTCAATCTCTTTGAAGACCAAATGTGACTTAAATCCATCAACAGCTGCGCTGAGAGGCATAGCCACAATACGGCCAGTGCTGAAAAGAAAAACCCATTAATTTACATACCTCTAATCACATTTTCAGCATCTTCACATTATCATGAATAGGCCTAACACCAGCGAGAACAGCCACACTGAAACGCCTTAGCAGAATAGAGCAACTATACAATACCCAAGTGAAGCTTACTCTCTAATGGGCTTGACAGCTTGAATTACAATCACTTCACTTATCTAGATGGTTTTGCACGTATGGACAGGACACTGATTTTGTAACAGAAGTTGTTCAGATAAATCAGCAAACACCACTGCCACACCTTGTGCGAAGAGAGCGCAGCACATGCACCATCTTGGAAAACTACCTTTATTTTTTGGTATAACAAATCCCCATTTCCCTCCCAATTCACGTGGGTCTGTTAACAGTCACAACAGGCACTAAGCATTATTCCTGATTCTCTGGAGCAATGACCCCACACGGCCTGACAGCAGCAGGAAACCTAATTCTTCATTTCTGCAGAGGCACCCAGAGCCGAACTAAGCATGGAGATGTCCAAAGAAATGGCAATTCAAGCAGCAGGAAAAACAAGTTTACAATTATTACCATCTCTTGGCAGCAGAATTCAAAACTGTGGTCAGGTTTGATATTGCTAAAGTGACAGAATCACTCAAGAAACGTTGCTGGAACTTATTTGTGTGGTACTAACACTACCCTACAGATGTATGCTAGCATAGCAATAGTAAGGACTGTGTCATCTGGAAAAGACACATCAACTTTACTGGTAAACCAATGCTGTACTAACAGAATGTAAAACTGTAAGGTGACAAAAGAAAAAAAAAAAAAGCAGAATTGTTTCAAAAGACCAATCTAAAATGGATCAACTCCTGCTGTCATTTACCTTCATGTACATTCTTGGCAGCCATTACTAACACCACTAGTTACAGGCTAGATCTGAATCCAATGCTTAAGTCTATATGCACTGCTGTAGAAAAAATAGTATGAGATATCTTCATGAACATGAAATGCCACCACCTTTCCCTTAATTACACAACATCATCCAATTACATAAGCAGCGTCTGAAGAGATTAGCTGCACTGTTTCGTTTCAAAGTCTGACATACATTAGTGCAACTCCTTGTGTCAAGTATCTCCCACGCACAAAGCCTTTGCGAGAACTGAAGGTTTTTAAGCTTCTCTAACATAAGATGAAACTAGTATTGCTAAGACTTCTCTGCTTTGAGATGTGCCTAAGAAGGAATCTACAAAAATCTTCATACCAATGAAGGTAAAGTGAGCTGTAGTAAATCAGACTTTGTTTCTTCAGCAGAAATATTATCTCCACATGCAAAGCTTCTCCTGATAGGAAGGCACAACTAGCAGTATCTCAAGGTTAATAGCACACAAATGGCAACAGATTCCCTGTTTCATAAAACTACAGTATTTTTAAGGACAAAGCTCAAAGCAATGGAATACAGTACACTCCCTGTAACAGTCTTCCCTTCAGATTTAAAACCCTGTACCAACACCCACTGCCAAGTTCTGCGAGCATGTCTGAAGAGAATCCACAGGAAGACATGTTCTCTTCCCCGTGTCACACCTATTTTCTCACATGGTCTAACCTCTTACAGATTACAGAAGTGATGGGATTACCACTTCTGATACTGCATTACAAAGAGCTACTGCTACAGCCCTTCAAAGTTCAATCGCTCCTCTCACTACCTCTTCCACAGATTATGCTGTCACCTCCCAAGAATTCTACAGGTCTAGCTAAAACCGACATTGCAAATACGAGTTTGGAGGGGAGTATTTCTTTCTGGAAGTACAGCACATGATAGATTTTACTGTTCATAGGTTTTTAGAGCAAATACAAAGTATTGGCATCGAGCTTTAAAACCAAAAACATAATACCCACAAAGAGTAGCTCAGTCTTTCTAAGTAAGGTTGAAAGTGAAAACGTAAAGGGAACTGTGTATTAAAAAGTCTCTCCTGAAATTCTGGTGTATTCACAAATTTTAAGTATTTTCCCTCAATTCCTGTCCATCCTAGCACAGAACTATAGCAGACGGCAAGAACAGCTTCATGGCAGAGTTCTCCTCTCACTCTGCACCATGCCACAACTGCAAATGCAAATTCCTCAGCCAGGAACGGATGAGTAACATGCCTGAATTCTAACAAGTACTTAGAACACCACATGACACACACAGCTGAAAGGAATTCTTCACCAAACCAAACTGGTAGCGATTTTCACAGTGAAAGCAGTGGGTATCTCTATTCCCATGGATGTCTTGCTTTTTTTGGCAAGTCCTTAGCTTCAATGAATTCATTTCAGTGTGGTCTATTTTGTTCTAGGAAGAGTTTATTTTGTTTTGTTTTCTGTTTCATAGAATCATAGAATGGTTTGGGTTGGAAGGGACCTTAAAGATCATCTGGTTCCAACCCCCCTGCCATGAGCAGGGACATCTTCCACCAGACCAGGGTGCTCAGAGCTCCATCCAACCTGGCCTTGCACACTGCCAGGGAGGGGGCAGCCACAGCTTCTCTGGCAACCTGGGCCAGTGTTTCACCACCCTCATGGTGAAGAATTTCTTCCTAATATCTAATCTAAATCTGCCGTCTTTTAATTTAGAGTCGTTTCCCCTCGTGCTATCACTACACACCCTTGTGAAAAGTCCCTCTCCATCCTTCCTGTGGGCCCCTTCAGGTACTGGCAGGCTGCTATAAGGTCACACCCCGCAGTCTTCTCTTCTCCAAACATTAGACTTGTCCTTAAAAGGAATCACATGAGCCATTCTTACGGGCCTGCTTGCTCTTTTCAATAACTTGTAACTCACAGCACATACTGCTTTTCAGGAGGCAGACACTGTGTAAGTTACAATCTCTGTATGCACCCGCGGTGCTGTGAGTACGCAACAGGTCCAACAGCTGAGCGCGTCTCAGCTTACAGCGCTACTTCTTCCTCGCACAGAGGCAAACTACGATCCTAAAAGGAACTGAGTTTTGACGCGCAGAGAGGTGGGAGCAGGGTCAAGGCCAAGCGGGCTCATTTCGCAGCGCCAGGGAACCCGCGGTGGAAGTTTCCGCGGGCAGCACGGCCACGGCCCGCGCGGGAAGGCCGGATGGG